GGGGAAGGCGGAGGGCGCGCTTTTAGGGGTGGAGATAGCCGGGTTCTCCTGGCGGGGCTTGGGGGAGCGAAGCGAATGCGACACGTGCCGGGGAGACCGGAGAGAGTCTGGGGCTGGCATGGCGGGCACGCGCGCCCTCCCTTTCCTTGGCCGGATTTGTGTGTGTGTGGGGGGGGCGGACAGATGGCGCAGCCGGCCCTTCCCTTGACCCAGTCGAGCGGTAAAAGGCCGGAGGCTCGCTAAGGCTAGCGGGATTGGTAAAATCTTCATTTTTGCGCGTGGGAGAAAGCACTTGGCGCAATCCATGTCCCCTTTGAGGCCTCAGCGATGGAAAAGAGGGCTCTGTTGAGCTGGCCTCTTGAAAAGGGGGAGTCGGCCTTGCATTCTCGGCCCCTTTGCTTGTTAAGTGGATTTTAAGTAAGTTGTATTTTCCAGCGTTGAAAGAATCATTTTCTGCTCTTGCGCAATCACTCTTTGCACTATAACGATCTCTCCGTCTCTCTCTCTCTCTTTCTCTCTTTCTCTCTTTCTCCCTCCCTGTGGAAAGATTATAACAGCCATAACATGCTGGTAATGTGTGTTTTGCAAAACTGGGTATACAGTATACTTGAGTAACCTCACCCTTGCAGTGAACCTAGGGGTGATTAAGTGCATCTGTCATATCCTGTGCTTTAGGCATTTCCCATCCTCTTGACAGAGTTTCACTGAAACTCCTTAGAAGTGCTACTGTTTTATTGCTTCCCTCTTTTTTCCCTGGGAAGTACAGCCAAGTTTAAAAGAAAAGGCTAAGCTGACAAAACTTTTGGTTTCACTCTGAAACTTTCTGAGATTTCTTTCCCCTTATGATAATGTTGTCAAACGATATCATGTGGTCTTTTATGCAACATTTTGGAATGTCTTTACAATAACTGGTGGAGTAAGTAAATTTGACAGTCGGATGTTTGGTAGTACTTACTCAGATGTTAAGCTTGGTTGAGTTTAAGCTATGGCACGTGGACTAGTGACACTGCATATGCAAGCCCTAGAAAGTTGTAACATTAAAATGCATGCGTTCCAACAAAGAGAACGATGCTCTGAGGTGGAAAATTAAAAGAGCTGCTTGCTGCTGCCGCCCGTAAGTGGAGGGGGCCTTGGCAATTAATGCCAATGTGACTTATCAAGATCCTGACATGAACTCCTGGCAGCTTCCCAAGTGCCTTGTTTCTGGACCACGGTTTATATCAGCCTTGTGCAATGTGATGTCTCTGTATAGGATGGATGACGCTTCCCAGCACGGTCATGTTGGCCTGGAACTGCAGTAGTCACTGTCAAGGCATTTGGAAAGCATTATTTTAGGGGAAACTGACCTATAGAATAGTACCCCTGAAAATATGGAGTTTGTTTAACCCTCTTTTAAACCAACATTTGGGCAGCTAAAAAAACCCCAAGGTATTAAATCCTGTATATATTTAGGGCTCACGTATAAAGGTTGCAATATGCATAATATATAGATTTGATATGGCACAAACTGAATGGTGTCATTGTGACCTTATGCTGAAATGCATAATCAGTATAATTGTATTTTGCAGTAGTTCATTAAAAAGCATGAACAGTCTTAACTATAGGTAATATTTTTTAGAGGACAGTATAATTTTATGGGGAAAAAAGATAACTGTTGGTCTATATGTCTGTTCTTTATATTTGAGTTATCGAATAGAACATGCAGTTATCTTGAAATGCAAGTGCTTTTAACGTTTCTTCAAATTAAACATTGACTGTTCATGTTGGATTCTGAAGCTAAACAGGGTGAACCTGTTTAGTACCTGGGTTGGAGACAGGGCTGTAGACTAGACTGGAAATCCAAAAAACATCCCTGAAGAAGACAGTAACAAATGATTTCTACGTTGCTACCAAGAAAACAACATGGACATGTCCATGAAGTCACCAAAAATCAAGCTTGATTGGAAGGAGACTTTAATCTTCACTTTTTAAGTAATATTTAGGGCGCAGCCAAGCATATGACAACTATAAATATTGCAATTGGATGATTCTGTAAATTGAAAAGGCGTGTGTTAATTTTCTGTTTTAGTGCCTTTCTACTTTTCCTTTCTTTGAAGGAGGCCAAAATGCCATAACTGTTTTTTCTAATTTCTATCCAATGAAGTAGATTAGGGAGAGAAACAGTGAATTTCCTAATATCATCCAGTGAAGTTTCTGCAGTCCTCCATGCTCCAAGTCTAGTATTTTCATAACATCATTATTGTGCATGGCCATGCACAGGTAATTCTAAGACCATTGGAGTACGTAGGGCGAGTCTCTGGCCTTCCACTAATTCCCTCTGATACAAATTGCCAGCAGTCCATCCTGAACACAAATAACTTGAACCGAAGAGTCTTCTGCTCATGGCAGCATTGTCCACCGCAGTGTTATAGCAACGCCTCTGGGGGCTTAACTTTTTTTACATTATGTAGCAATCCTTACAACAATTCTACTAATTTAACTTCAGCATTGAATTCTAAACTTAAATCCTCAAAGCAGGTAACATCAAAGATTAGAAAAGGGGGAAAAGCAACTATTTTAAAAGCACATGCCTAAAATCTGCAAAATCATAATAGGCCCAGGTTGGGCAGGTAATTCTCCCCCCTACTGTAAAATAAAATGCCATAGCATTAACATATACGAAACAGCATTAAGACTGCAATTGAAATTATTTACTATTTTAATTTCAAATGGAAATCACTGTTAAAGCCAGCCTTGTATATCAAGTACTAGCCTGGTAGGTGACCAGAAATTCCCTGTTGGAGAGTATAGTATGTGGATTTCATGAAAGTAAGTGAGCAGGCCGGCAGTTTCCTCCTCTGTGTCCAACACAGATACATCAATCGGTACATTTTGGTTTCAGACTAGGAGCAAAACTTCATTGCATGGCTTCATATTATAAGAAGAGATACCAGGTTACATAAAATCAGTGTAAAATGCAATAATATGCAGCAACCAAAAGGGAAGGCCTCTGATTTCTCTATCTTCCTGCACTTTCTGCTCCTCCATACAACAGTGCTGGGCCTGGCAAGCTACCAAGTAGATTCTGCTCTTGTCAAGTGATTGCATAAAACTCATGGCAGATTTAGAAACTTTGGTATTAAGGAGGTTATCGTGGTATTACAGATTTCCCTATAAGAGGCAGTGTGGAAAAATATGGCCTGCTTGCTCACATGAACAGAGTCTTTCCTAAAGGAGAGTGCTCTTAAAACTACTTTTGAGAATTGCTTTCGGGAGACTGTCCAAATGTGCAGGGTTGGACATGCTGCAGTACTTTGGGAGAATAAGCTGATGGGTTTATGGGATCATATCCAACTATTGCACATGCAGAGTTTCTTCCTCCCTCTTCCTGAATATCGTTATCCAAAAGCCTCTTATTGAGTAGAGCCTCCGTTGCCTGGTCATAACCCATCCCTATCAGCGTTTGGGGAGAAAGCTGCTGCAATATTTTTTGTTGTGTGCTCGGTTTCCAGGATGCGCAGAATGGATCTGTCAACATAAAAGGGATGAAAAATTCAATTTTCTCCAAAACATAAATATCCAATCCAGGCCCTAGCCCTGCCCCTAAGTAGAATGCTCTGTTTGGAATGCAACACATCCCTTGAAAACTTGGACTGAAATAGAGGTTTCTTCCTTCCTCCTTCCTTCCACCCCACAGAGGAGTTGCACAATGGGCATAACCACGAAAGCTTGACAGCAGTTACACTTACCTTGTGTGGAAAAAAAGACAGAGTAGCTACGGTGCTCCTTTGTGCCTTCTGGGCTGCAGAGACCATCAAGACACGGCTAGAAGAGAGAAGCCCTGAATCCATACACCGTGCCCCAAGATGCCTCTCTCTCTCTTCCTGCTCTGCAAGCTCTCAGGCCCAGGAGTTTTGTAGGCTAATTCAGTGGCTAGAAATGAAAGATGCCTGAATCTTGAAAAGGAGAGTGCCCCGTGAGTCAGTGATGGATCATGGTGCCTTGCTTTATTGCAAAACCAGTCCTCATTGCTGATACCCTGTTCTGTGAAATTTAGCTATTTCATAAAGCAAGACATTGCAGTAAGGAAAGGATACCCCTCTCCCTAACCATTTTCCAAACCAAAGAGATAATTTCTCTTGATTATGTTTCTGCATGCTAGGGTGTCTTATGTGACTCATAGTGGGTTGGTTTTAGATTCTGGATTTGCAAAAAGCTAGGAAAATCACAAAGGAAATTTCTTTTCTCTCTCTCTCTCTCATTCTCTCTCTCTCTCAAGGATTGGAGCTGCCAGTTCTTGTCCTGAGCACCTCTGCACTTTTCACGGCTGCTGAACAAGAAGAACTTTGGAGGAGTTTTCTGGCATAGAGTTAGGGATGGGAGAACTTTACTTGACTCTTTCTGTTGTTCAGCAGCTGCTAAAGGCACCAGAGGAACCGGAAAAAAGAGGGGAAACCATGGCACTAGAGCAGTCCTAACACATACATATATCCTGTATTTTCAGCGTTAAAGAATTCGTGACTGCATTTGCAAATTAGGTTTTCTTATGCTGAAGCCCTACAGTAAAGGGCCAACATGCAGTAGAAGTCCTTTTCTTGTTGAATACAGTACTTCTGGAGGATTATTAGTTCATCTGGTTTCTGGATATTTCAGAGAGGATGATTCGGAAGCCAAGTGCAATATGGATAGGTCGTTGCGACTCTAAAAATGGTTGGTCAAAGTTCTGGAAAGCCATAGAACTGTATTTTTATTCCCAAATAAGGAAACTTGGCACATTCTGCGGTGTTTTAAGCTAGTGCAAATGTAGTACTTGCTTTATTGGCAATACATTGGCACGCTGCCTTTGCATAGAAGTGCTGAAAGCTACTTCATCTCTTGCTTTTTATTTTTATTTATTTTA